GGTTCCCATGGTGGAAATCGATGGGATGAAGTTGGTGCAAACCAGAGCTATTCTCAACTATATAGCAGCAACGCACAACCTCTATGGGAGGGACCTGAAGGAGAGAGCCCTGTACTTTAACATCAGTACCTTCACTCAGTCTGTTATAATAATTGACGTAGAATTAGGGTTTATCAAGTATACCTCATGTCTGAGGTGTAGAGAGTCCTTGTATATGTGTCTCAGTGGCATTAATCTGTTGCAGAAAAGGTCAGATTTTAGAATCATTGTATTCCAATGATCTTGATTTAAAATTGGGGACCTGTTGGCCAAGTGCTTCGATTTGTAACAGAACAGCCCTCGAGCTCATTAGCTAGCATAACATTTGACAGAGGTATACTAGGAGATGGGTCTAACCATCTTCCTTTTTTATATTAAGGAGAAGCAATCTTGAAGTGTTTTATCCGCAAAATGTGACTTAAAATAGTGTGTTGCTTTTAGAAAGCATTATGCTACACAACAGCATTATAAAGCAACTTTTTAAAAAATGCTGCTTTTGATAGAAGTCTGTCTAGTCTCTGGGAGATATTTGAGTTATTTGAATTTAAAAATCAAATCTTTTTTCTTTTCTTCTCTCTTCAGGATTGACATGTATGTGGAAGGAACAACTGATCTAATGCAGTTAATTATAATGTTCCCTTTCTTATCAGCTGAGGATAAGGAGAAGCAACACGCCCTAATAGTCCAAAAAGCCACAAATAGGTACTTTCCAGCCTATGAAAAGGTGTGTGGCAGCAGTGAACAAACACTGAAGGGTAATATGAGAGCAGTGAAGTGTCCAAAATAAGGTGTTGGAAAAGTGTCCAAAATAATGGCATGGAAGGGATAGTGGGATAGCACTCTGTAATAACTATAGCATTACCAGTTATAGTTATTGAGCATTTAGAAGACATCCAGAATGTTAACTGTGTAGTAAGTCATGGGCTAGATGCAGAAATTATTGACTCTGTGGAATGAGTTGTAACAGATGTCACATTAAATTATCTTGACAGTCCTTCTTTGTTTAAAGCCTCAAACCCACAGGTGTCAAACTTTTATGGTCTGCTGGCCAGATCCACCCCATAGAGCTCTGTTACCTGGCCTCCAGTGCCGTCTCTGGATCTAAACTGAACTGGACCAGTCCCACAGGAATCCTACTGTACACAGTGCCAGTTGCAGGTGCTCTGAGAACACACATAATGCCTCTCCTTGAACATGCATCATATGCAGTGCTTGCTTCAGCCAATCCACAGGCACTCCATGCAGCCATGCAACATGGTCCAGCCTGAGCAGGCACCGCATGTGGCACAGTCGCAGACCTGCCAATATCTGGGGCTCAGTGTGTAGCATGGGTCACAGAGTGGCTGGAACCTGCACCTGTTCTGTTCAGTCTGGGATCCATGCTACATGTGATGTCTGCACCACCCAGAGCACCCATTGCAGCCACTCTGGGATGTGCATCACAAAAAGCACAGATTCTGGAGCAGGTTCTATGGACCCTGGATCTGGCATGGAGGAGGGGGTCTGTGGACCTGTTGGCCCAATCTGGCCTGTGGACTGGCCCCATGTCACTCATCTAGAGGAGTTTGACACCCCACTCTAATGTAATGTAGTAACATACTTGTAGAACATGGTTGTCCCTACAAGGATTAAAATGTGCAACAGTGTCACGTTGATCTTTAAAAAGCCTGCTTGTCAGTTGGATTTTGACACCTCAGTTATGTGTATGCTGCCTCACTAAAACTAGACAGCGAGGCTGACCTGCAACTTGCTTTTGTGCATCTGGCCCTACTTTACTTGCTTCAGGTCACAGAGAAAGTCTGTCTTGGAACAGAAACTGAACCCAGCTTTCCAGGAGTTCATGTTAATGTTCTCCCTCTTTCTACAGTTGGAAGAAATGACAGCAAAGAATTTAATGTGCTTCCATCAGGAAGTGGTTCAGGCTGGTGAACTGGCTGTTGATTTAAGCTTTCTAAGAGATACCAGCCACAGCTGCTCGTTTTTTCATGGTGGCATTTCTTTAGTGAATCAAACTTTTTTTTCAGGTTTTAAGAGACCATGGCCAAGACTATCTTGTTGGCAAACAGTTCAGCTGGGCAGATGTTCATCTATTTGAAGCTATTTTAATGGTAGAAGAGAAGAAGTATGATGTTCTCTCTGAATTCCCTCAGCTACAGGTAGCTATGTTAACAAATACACAAAGTTGAATGATGGAAATGTTTCTTGGCCATCTACATGGGAAAATAAACCTGAGCACATATAGCAGTTATACTATTTTTTTAAAAGCCAGAAGACTAATACAGTGGCTCTCTAATAAATGAGTTATACTCTACTTCCTGACAAGGGCAGTCAGCAGGTAGGACTGGAAGTTACCAAAATCTAAGCCAGATCCTATCCCCATATTAGACATGTAAGTGGTATTTGGACAAGTAACCAAATCCCTGAAAACCATTAATATAAAGGTGGGTTGGTTCTCCTTCTGTTCTGGACTCCTAAAGTTAAGATGAAGGCTTATTACAACCATAGATACTAATGCTTTTCAGGAACTTGAGCAGGGCGAAATATTGGGTGCACAAGTGCAATCCTAAATGGAATATTATGTCGTGCAAAGCCTACTAGTTTTTAGAGTGACTTCTTTGCAAGCCCATGGAATTCTATGGCAAGGATACTGCCTCGTAGAAGCCAATGTAAAGTCTGTAGAATAGTTTTTTTTCATCTTCTTATCAGTTCTCAGATGCTTTTCAGTAGAAAATCATTTTGGATAACAGGTTGTGACTTTTAAAAACTATGGATAATTCAGCTACTTTACTTTCACGATGTCGATATATTTATTGCTAGTCTGGGTAATGTGACTGGGGAGGAAAGCCAAATTCCCCATTGACTAAGGGCTTTGTTACATAGTAATTCTGGGTGGCTCCTGAAGCACTTAAACCCTGGATTGCCCACATATTAACACCAGAAACTAGTTTTAAGCACTCATTATGTGGCTCAGTTGCATCAATCCAGGGCAGAATTATCTCTGATCCATTTTATTAAGCCCATGTTACACTAAGGTGTAGCCACTCTAGGCTACACCTTGATTGTAAACATCCCAACTGCTCCCCCACCACCAGCCCCACTGGCCTGGATTGGGCCCTCTGCCCTCCCCAGTGCCTCAGGAACCCTGACACCTCCTGGTGGCCATGTGACTCTTGATCAGCTCAGTCTCTACTGTAGTCCTTGCTTGATTGCTCGCTTTCCATGGTCTTACTGAGCATTAAATAAAAGAGACTGCCCCCAGGCTTTTAGAGGAAGCCATAGTCCATGCATGTTGCTAACAGGCCCCTCCCAGACCCCACTAGTTTCAGTTTGGTCCTTAAGCTCAGTAGGTCTTCTTGCCTGCCCATGCATTTGCAGGGCACCTGTAGCTTTAAGGGCTCCTTGTGTCACTCCATCCTTCCCAATACCACACCCCATGCCTCACAGGTATTATTTATAATCATTTGCCTTGTAGGGGTCTTGGCCTTATCAGCAACCTCCCCTTATGCTCTCTCTGGGCCTTTAGCCCAGGTCCATGGTACAGGACCTGGCTTCGAGGCACCAGCCTCCCTGTCTGCAGGTCCCTGACCCTATCTGTCCTTTTTGGACCTTTGGTCCCTCCTGGGCCAATAGAGGTCTCCAGGCAGTCCCTGGCTGTGGTCCCTCCTGGCCCGTTGGCCCCTCTTGAGCTCTGGGCCCACCCTCAGGTCACCTGAGACCTCCAGGTTTCCCCAGCCCTAGCAGTCTCTGTCTAAAGCCCCTCTGGGGCTATTAGCTCTTTGAGCAGGCCTTGAGCCTACTCTAGCTGGGCTCAAGGCTAAACCACCAGTGTAAACTTAAAACAAAAACACCTTAGCCCAAACTCTCTCTGGGTTTACCATGAAATAAGGAACACCTGCCTGCACAAGCAAGCCTTTCCCTCTGCCCCAGGCAGCTTTCTCCTGTTCCCAGGCCTGCAGAGTCACTTACCCAGTTTCATTGTCACTTGAGGAGCCCTGCTGCTCTGCAACCAGGAGCCCCTCCACTCCCCTTTTCACGACTCTCAGGCCTAGACTGCCTGACCAGCTGAGGCCTTGGGCTTATAGAGCTGCTGTAGATGTGTGGGGAGCCAACACACTGGAAATCGAGCATGTCAGAGCACAGAAATTGGTGCACTTCAGCAGCCTTCCGTGTCACGCATCAGTGTCCCCATCCTGAAAAAATGGCAGCAGGGCAATTTGAACTAAAACATGTTTGATGAGTTTTAGTTCAAAGTACCCCACTGCCATTTTTCCATGATTAAAATGAAAGACCTCCATATATAATATTTTAGATCACTCTCTCTAATATTATAGAACTTGAGAGCTCTGTATTTTAAAACTTCAATTTCCATGCACCTTTTCAATTTTATTTTTATCTTTAAAATACAACCAGCTTGGGCAGTATTTTGGAATGAATAATGATTATGCCTCATCTCCAGGCGCTTTCTCATATTTCCATGTTTATCATTTATGTGCTTCTATCTCATGTTTAAATCTTATTTACACTTCCAGAATGGGAACAAGGGTAGGGCATTTTGTATCACTTTGTTCCAGTGAAATTAATAGCTATGATAAGTCCATGAAGAGTGGTGGTTCACAGCTAGGCTCTTAAAGTCCCATTATATCTTATTAAATGTGTACCTCATTTCTTGTATTGCTTAACAGATGCAAAGATTGCAGGTGGTGACTTGTCTTTCAGTGTAATGCAACAGGATTTTTTGCCTGCAATTCAACAGTAAGACCATCCTTTGCCTGAAATGGTTATACACAAATGCCATTCTTGCAGGGATTTTCTCGTTCGGCTTAGCTTGGGGCATTGTAAATTAAAAGAGATAAGAACCACCTCAGTACATTGGGAGGAGCCATTTGGAAAACTTAAACAGTCCCTACTAAGGTTAAATTAAAAGCTGGTCATTCAGGCATCGGTCAAATCAATTGATTTTTACTCACTCATGCAACTTCCCCCTCTAACCCCATCCTCACTTTAGTCCTTTAAATGGCTTTGTGCTGTTTCCTGTCTCTTTAGATGTTGAAAGCAAGAATAAGCAACATGCCCAGAATAAAGAAATTTCTGGAACCTGGAAGCCAAAGGAAACCTATCCCTGATGATAAATATGTGGAGACTGTGAGGAGAGTTCTCCAAATGTATTATAATGTAAAACCAAGTGTGTAGCTGGTTCAGAAAGCAATGAGAAGCTCAATGCTAGCAAATACTTTCTCTCAAACTCTGTAAGAGGGAAATCTATTGAACTACAGAGATAGTTACACTGTCCTTGACTGAATAGCTAGTTGAACTGTATCTGATAGCATTGTATGTAACATGCAAGAATTAGTCAAAACTCTCAATTACTAACAGTTTACTGAATGTAACCTTTGTTAAATTTCTCTTGTTGTTCTGGATGAAATGAGCACATGCATGTAGAGTCCATCATCCCCCTCCTTCATCCCAAGGAAACTTAGAACCTTTTCACCAGCCTGAAGATGTTCTATCAACAAACACCCAGGGTTTGCAATGAAATACAGATAGAGGTCTCAATTTTAAGCTTAAACTTAATATTTTGAGGGTGAATTTAATCATGGGGAAAAATGAGAATAGTTCTAAGAGCCTGAAAGGCAATCCTAGACCTTCCAACTTTTGTGGGACACCAGCATATCAGCTGAAATGATATCAAGTCAGGATATTAGCAACACATTTTCTCCCTCGTAATAAATCTTAGTTTAAGATGTGTGAGCTAACATTGCATGAGTGTATCTCTTAATTTGTTTTCTGTGTAATCATTCAATAATTGGAAAGACATTTTTCTAACCAAAAAAAATTCTTTGATTCTTATGTGGTGGTAGTGTCTTGAATTTGTTGATCAAAGCTGTCTTGTAGCCCACACGTGGAGGCTGCCTTTCTCTTCAAACTGGAAACAGTTTTTGAATTAAGTGAACATAAGAGCTTAGGTAATAAACTGTCTCTAACAGCTCTGGCAAAACAAATTACACGTGTTTCCTAAAACAAGCCTACTAAGTCTAGGTTGAAACCAAATCTAATTCTGCTGCTGCTCTCCCACAAACAAGGCTTTAGAGTAGGAGCAGTAGCTAACGTGCATGTCTTGCTCCAAAACGTGTGGTGTTTTCACTTGGGTTCTGCCAAAAAAAAAAAAAAAAAAGAATCCAGAGAACAACTCCAAGTATTGCTATAAACTCTCAAGCCAGGTAAAATATACTTATGCTTTGAAACACTGCTTTTTATGTTGGTATCATGGGGTTCTATATTGGTAACTGTGTCTAAGTATCCTCAGTTCACAAATAAGCCTCCTTCCCACCTGCCTCTCCACCCCACATTGTTCACCTTGTCTAACGGCTGTGGTTTAGGAAGAGAGATGCTGCTGTGAAGAAGAGGTGTTTTTCCCCAGCAATGATACTGGCAGCAAGTACCCTTCCTGTACAGTGCTGGTCAGCATTTAAATAACCTGTACTCACTAACATGACTGACATGTTTTGACTTCATCCTCAAGAGGAGGTGGTTTGGGCTCCTACCGTGGCTCACTGCTGCCATCTATCTAATGCTGGTTGTAACTTCAGTTTGGGAGGGGTCTTTTTTTTCCTCTTCTTTTAATGAGAATGTGAACACCTGGTGTGTCATTTTTTCTTAATTTCTCTGCTGGCTGAACTTTCTCTCTTGAGTATGCAGTTCCTCAGACAGGTGGTTTTGCAGTTTGATGCTGATCTAACCTATCTTCCCCCGATTGGAGTTCCAGGAAGTCTGGGAAAATTGACTTGTGCTAGATATTGTCCTTAGAACTGAAATATTCTGGGATACTTAGCCAGATGCCAAAGGTCTGCTGCTGCCTCAGTGGCTTACAGGTTGTCTTTTAACAATCTTTTGAAAGATATTCATGGGAAAATGCAGATTATCATCTGAAAGAAATAAATGTGTTCTGCCGAGAGAAGGGGAGTTGTATATGTGAGGTGTGCAGTTTCCTGTCCCCAGCCTTAATCCCCTCTCATGGATATTTTTCAGGCCTTGACCACATGATCGCTTGTAGTGCTACAAAAAGAGTGCTATTTTGTGGTGGATCTGCATGCTATGTAGTGCAGCAGACAGTGTGACTGTATGCACACTAGCTTTCTGTAGTGCTGTAAGATCATGTATAGTGCTATAAATGTAATATGTGCCCAAGGCTTCAGGACTGAATATGCAGCATCTATTTTATGTGTTGCTGTGTTGCCTGTCCCAGATGGCGAGGAACAGGAGCTTTTGGAATAATTCTGGGGGATGCAGGAGGAAATGTTGTTAAACTACCATCCCTGAGACCACAGACCATCTGTGCCAACTTCACAGGTGCAAAAAGAAGCTGATGTGTAGGATCATTTATGGGCTTGGGAATAATGGTGAGACAGCAGTAGTGTTTCTTTGAGCCACAAGGCTTTTCTGAATACTGCTGTACTTAAGTTTTGTTCTGTTCTCCTTTGCAGTCCTAACTGAGCTCACCTGTCCTAAGTATCATTCCAAGGAAAGTTTTCAGGGTCAGTCTCCACACGTTTCAGCCTCCTTGGCTAGGGAACCTTCAGAGTGTAGTGGAAGAGGAGGTGGGGGCAGAGAGGCAGGATGGGAATTGCAGAGCTAGCATTCCCCACTGCAGTGCTATTCCCACACAGGCGTGCCAGCTTCTAGTCCCCTCCATTTGGACTCCAGGTGATAAAAACCCACAATATTTCAACCAAACCTTTTACGTAGCCAAGGAAGAGAGCAAGTCTGAAGGTCGCTGCTGTTTACTGCTGTTCTGTAATACCTAATAACCGACCAAAAAGCTGACACCTGAAGCATACTTTAGTGCAGCTCTTTTGTGGTAATTATTAATGGACTTTAGGTAGCCTTGATGATTTTATGACTGTTAAATGAATTTATTGCAGTCCTAAGTTTCTGCAACTTTCTAAAGCAAAAGGAAACTTGTCTGGGAGGATGGTCAGTGGAGTACATAGGAGAAAACTGCAAACACATTCAAGTACCTCCAGCCTTCCCTTCAGCAGACTGCAGTGTCTCTCAACACGTTGTCTAAGGAGATGCTTTCAGTAAAGTCCTTCTGGTGACAGAAATCTTAGCTTCACTACCCAAATGTTATATGTGCTGCTGTGATGCCCCTTACCAGAAGAAATAGGAGATTGCTGAAATTTTTAGCCCTACTGACTAATAACTTATGTAGCGTGACTCAGCTTCATCAGAACCAATTTAAGAGTAAGTACTAGTAAGCATGAGTAATGAGTGTGGATTTGAACCCTAAGTAACAGGTCTGGGTGCAAACATGATTCTGGTATCTAGTTTGCTTTCTGTTCTTAAGACCACAATCTCTTCCCATTCAAATTATTAAGAACCTCCATATGCTAATAGCACTGGCTCATTGTAGGCACAAAAAGGCCATCTTACTTCTACTGACTGTAGGGATGCTGTAATAAAAATGCATAGTGTCTCATAGTTTGGTAGGCCTCAGGCCCAAGGGACTTTAGTTGAGTATGTGCCAAAACGTAGTGAAAAATGAGCGTGTCAAAGCAGAGTTTTTGTTGAGGGGAAATGGCCCAAGAGCAGCATGATCCTGTGCAGAAATTACTACATCAGGTTATTTAGAAATAGTGGTGCTTGCAGTGCTTGTGGACAGTCCATTCCTGCTAGTGAGCTGGTCATGAGGGCACAAGGCAACGTCTATCATCTTAAGTGTTTTACGTGCTCTACCTGCCAGAATCGCCTGGTCCCAGGAGCCTGGTTTCACTACATCAATGGCAGTTTATTTTGTGAACATGATAGACCTACAGCTCTCATCAGTGGCCCTTTGAATTCACTTCAGAGCAGTCCACTACTGCCAGACCAGAAGGTCTGCTAAAAGGTCAGAGTAATGCAGAATGTGTGCCGTCATCTCAAATTTTGTTCATCATAGATGGATCCCATGTCTCCAGTAGGCAAGTCACCTTTCTAGCTAGCATCAATGCCAGCTCCATGACATTGCACCTTCTAACTATGAAATGGCAGGTCTAGTATTTATGGGAGTGGTATTCTCCCACACCAAACACCATTACCTGAAGCAAATCATTGATTTGCTGGTATCTAATGGCCAAAAAAAAAAACCCCAAACAACAAAAATCCAGACAGCAGACAAGCTTGTGTTAGGGTTATGGTGGCATTCCCTAGTACTAGTTTATCTTGCATAGATCTATTGCTCATAATTTACAGAGCCCTTTCATCAGAAGCACCTACTACAGTTTGTGAACAATGGATATTACAAGAAGCTTTGCCTTGTGCAAATGCAAACACACACCACTCCCCTAATCTCCCCTTTAGCCTCCATGGCTGCATCCACGTGAGCAAGCGTGTGTCTGTTTCAGCATCTCAAACAAATTTTCAATGCCACAGGAGGCATACCACAAACGAAAAAATGTTTCCCACACTGCAGCTATGCAGCATGGACTCTGTTTGATACCAGTATCAAAAGAAAACACGCCAGAAAAAAGCAGTGCAGGGAGCACTCCTGGAGCATGCCTTGAAGCAACTGGAGGTTAGGTCTACCAAAGAGGTGTTCTGGCACCTGTAGAGAGCATCTCCATGCCTGCTGCATGCCCCTGCTGCTCCAACACCGGAGGAAATGGAAGCAGGGCATGGTTAGCAGCAGTGGCTCAGAGCTGGCTGAGACCCACTCTCTGTCCCCGGTAAGCAAGGACATGGGGGGAACTGTGTGTGGATATAGGGGGACTGTGAGGGTCGGGGGGACTGTGTGGGAGGGGTGGGTCTCCCACCGCCCCCCCCACAATGGCGCACAGCTTCCCGGGAACCAGGGCTCCCAGTACTGCAGGCAGGAGCTGCCCATCATCAGCATCTGCCAGTGGACCAGGCCAGCTCCATATGCTTCATGTGGCCCCCAGGTCTCAGGCACACCACCAGGAGGCTCTGCCTGCAGCGGGGTGTGAGCACCCCAAAGGCCCACTATTGTTGCTGCTGCTGGCAACAGAGGCTGTACGCCATGGGGAGGGGGGTTTACAAGTGTGTGGCAGATGCCCTCCACAAACCCTACACTCACAACCCCCACCTCCACAATACAACCACAAGCCCCTCACCTACAAACCAACTCCCTAAGCCCCCTTCAAAAGGTAATTTGCCATCAATGCCATAGAACAAGATAACAAAGCTCCCTTGAACCAGAGAATTGGTAATACACAACCAAGAATTAACACCTGCTTCAGTGTTGTGCTCAGAAGAGAAGAACTAAAAACTCAAAGGTCAGAAATCTCATATTTTTCATAAGTATCCCTTATGAAAACAGCTGTCACATCCAGAATATCATTTTACACTGTAACACAGAGACAAGGAAATATCCTTGCAGGCAAACAGAAGCCAAAGCACTGGATTAATTCTTGAATAAAAATGGAAACCCCTCTTCTGTACATGGTATGACTGGAGACTCCTCCCATGGAGAGCAGGTCCAAAGTCTCATTATTTGAGAGACATTTTCTTGTTTAAGAAGGTTAAGATCTGGTGCACAGCAAGGACTTACAGGTTAGTCTTGCAACCCAAAGAAAGCAGATTTCTTTTAATCCCCAGCTGTTTGAAGTTTCTTTTTAGTGAGATTAATAAGAGCTTAGTTACTAGAGCTAACAACTTTTTCCCAGTTTGATAGGTGTTGGGAAACAGTCTGCAGGGAACACAAGTCTGCTGATAGGGAGCAAAAGACAGTGGAAGGAGTGAGTAAAAGTGGGTTGAAACGACAGATGGAATTGACTGAGCTCGAGAGTTCACTGAGAGAACAGGTGGATGTAGTGGCCAGATCAAAATATGTTGGACTCTTTTTCTGAGGTTAATAGAAGGATAAAGTTTGTATTGGTCCCAAAAAATATACATTTCTCATCATTCTGATGAGCAGTTTGATGTTTAAATCTCATTTTACTAAGGCTTATAAAAAAGTGACTGCACATCCCGGGACTGCAATCTGAGTGCTTATGAATGGTACAGTGTTAGCAGGGAGTGCTGAAAAACAAACAGGTAGAGGTGGGTCCAGGTCAGACCTCAGGTGCAGTGACCCCCCAAAATCATTTTGGTGGTGGAGGTAATCCTCTCTAGATATGGCAGCATAAGCTGATTCTTTACACTAGTTCCCGGCAACAGTAAAAATCTTTCAGTGGAAAATCCCACAATAATTTGATTTTCAGAAAAGAATATGTAGAATCTGTGCTTTGCTGTGGTCAAACTGAATAGTGTATGGCAAGTCTTTGTTTTATTTAGAGTTACTTCCAAGAAATGTTTTGGCTCTTTTTATTTATTTCTGTGGACAGTTCTTAGGTTTAAATTCTTCTGGGCAAGTACCTTCTCTTATTTTTAAAGCACTTCAGCCTGCAGTTGCTACTGTAAAAGAATCTATATTAATAATAGTAGTTGCAACATGACATCGATATAAATGCAGTGGCCAGTTAATAATAAAAATATAAATAATGTCATTGGAGATCCCTGTTCGTGAAGACAAATTCTCAAAGTTCAATGACTTCATAGCACACGTAAGATCCATCTCTAAAATAATACCCTCAACTTTTAAGTGTGACTAGCACAATACTGTTTTGTTCCCTGTTTGCTTATAATAGTATAAAAGAGGCACTTCCTCCCCCCGCCTTTTTTTTTAATATAAGGGTAACTAGAGTTACAGAGTCTAGTCATCCTGAAAGCAGGAGCTGAGAAGAGAAACAAAAGAAGTCAGTGAAGTGTTAGGGTGGGGGATTATACAAGTTCTGCCTTCTGGTCATTTCTTTAGCTCCCATAATACACACACAGGGCAGAATCCAGTTCAGTGAATGTGAACAATGCCCTATCGAGTGTAGATTAGCTGACTACCTATTGTAGCCTGTAGTAAAAATGTTACTTTAAATGTGGATTTTCCCCTCTCCATCTCTCCCTTGAGCTTTTTCTCCTTTTGTTTTTTTCCCCAGGCAATCAGAAGCTCACTCATGGCTGGGAAACCCAAGCTTTATTATTTCAATGGAAGGGGACGAATGGAATCAATCCGATGGCTTCTGGCAGCTGCTGGGATTGAGGTTGGGTCTTCAGTCCTAAAGAAAACAAATGGCTTCGGACAGATTGTCTGGCTGAATTTATTCCAGAATTGTATTTATTTATTACAGAAAAAGAGCTCTGAGTCTTATGACTATAGAAGACAGGGTAGAAGACACTTCAATTTCTGCTTTGAACACAAGCAAGACTTTTTTTAATAGTGAAATTGAAGTAAATACAGTGACAGAAGTTTAAAACTATAAGCTGAACTGTGTTGTGCCTTTGCATGTCACCGGTAGAATTAATGGCAGTTCACACACAAATATAGGAAAGATAGTTGTTGTGGAGTTTAAGTTGAGAAAAAGTCATTTTAAAATTGGGTAAAATTTTACCCAAATCTACATTTCTAAAAATGTAGAAATAGATTTTATTTGTTTTTATTAAATATACTGCTGACTGACAGTATATTTAATACTAGATTCCTTCTGTAGTTTGGAGTTGGATACTTCAGCAAAACATTTCATATACCTGCTGTGGTTTGCTCAGAGACTCCCTCTGACACCAGAGAGCAAAATCTCTTTTTTAGTGCAATTTCCTTAGGAGAAGTTGAAGGTTTTATAGAGCAGGTGAGAAGTGAACACTATATTTCTAGAGCCTAAGTTTGGAAACAGAGGCACAAAGACCTCAATAGTTTTGGCTAAGAAAAATCTTAAATGGTTTATCATCCCCAGTTGTTTTAAAAATATGCAGCTTCCGCTATCGTGATAGAGCTGAAGGTCTTATCAATGTGTTTATGATTCATGTAGTACCAGCCAGGCATAAGAACTGAGTGTAAGGCTTTTTAAATTTTCTTTCCCTAATCAGAAAGTCATTACCTTGACTTTTGTGTTTTTAGCTCATAGCTTAGAAACAGAGGACTGGAAAAGAATTGAGCCACTGAGTCCAGTCTTTTGCTGACACAGGCAACCAGATTATATAATTCCATTCCAGGGATGGCAAGCCGGTCAATTAACCAGTCAGATATTGTCAATTGATTAGTCAATCGAGTGCATTTTTGACCTGTCAAAGATTACAGCATTTTACAAATAAACTACATTTTTTGTAGTTTTCTTGACAGAAATGTTATATTTTATTGTTTTTGACACGTTTCTTCATTGAAAATTTGTGCTTTTCCTGTGTATTACTTGGACCTATCGGCAATTTTTTTACAATTTTTGACTGATATTTGACCAGTCAAATATGCATCCCTATCCCATTCATAAACTTACCAAGCCCCATCTTAAAACTAGTTACTGGTAGGTTTTCTCCCTGCTATGTTCATTGGAAGGTGGTTCCAGAATTGAATTACTCTGTGGGTTAGGAAGCTTATGCTGGATATGATGAAGTATCTACAACACTGGGTATCTACAACACTGCATTGCCTAACAGAGATGGCTGGCTCCACTAGTTAAATCCAAAACCCAGTCACTGAGCAGGAAGCTGCTTAACCCTAATCAATAGGAAAAGCTAAGCAGAGGGCAGTGTCTGAAATACCACTCTGATTGGATGTTGTAGGGAAATGTCTCTCCATTTGGGATCCAGAGCTGAGATTCCTTTCCTGAGGGTCTGTGACTATGTGAATTTTTTGCAAGAGCTGAGCATAGTTCCCTCTTTTCCAAATGCAGGGAAAAGTGAACATATATAAAATAATTTGGTGACAGAAGCACTTATCCAGGAAGTTACAGGCTGGGGTTGAATACCTTTCTCAGTTTAAGGTTCAAACCAAGATTTCTAGTCTCCCCAAGAACTGGGATGGGGCCACTGTCCACCCCTGAGCAAAACAACGAAGAGTGATAGCATGACCCTGTTGCCTAGCTGTTAGGGCAGTCCCAAAAGAGAGAGAACTTCCTGCATGTGGATTTAGGTGCCTGATTCTCAAAATGTTGTCCAGGTCATTATCAATTGGTGATGCATGCGGGGGGCATTGAAGGGCATATGCCCTGCCAGATTTCTGCACTGATGGCAGGGCACAGGCATGGGGCCGCAGCCTAGCTGGAGCCAGCACCCAGAAGCAGTAGGGGTGGCTGTGGTGTGCCCTCCCACTCTCAACACTTATAACTCATAACACTGCCTCGGTTATATCATTATCAATAGGGTCCATTGTTCTACCTCTAGTCAAAATGATGGCACTCTAAAGAGCTGGGCACAGTTGAGAGTTTATTGTTTGTTTTTCCCCCTACATTTACAGTCTATCCAAAATGCTTCTGCCTGTTTAAATGATATGTTTGATCACTCCCCTCTGCTTGATCACTTCACTGGCTTTTCTTTGTCTCTCTGAAGGTACTTCACATTCCACTTGTGTCTACATTTCTACATTTTCTTACCTTGGTTCTAATTTATCAGCTTGTTATGACTTCACCCACTTTCCTTAACCCACTTAGCAAATATGCTGTTCCTAGATGCACCATAATCTACTTCTTACTTGGATTGATTCACAGTTAAGGGATTATGTTATCATAGTACAATCTTATGAATGTATTAAATAGTAAGCATTTTAAGTTGTGGAAATAATGCAATTATTAAACATCTAGATGTAAGGGCCTGAGACTGCTGCCTTTTGAAGCTGATCCATGGTAGCTGTGAGGGTTGAGAGTACATCTAAATAAAATGATGAATGGGAATTTAGCACAAAGTAATTGGACACTAACATTCTTTATGTGGAAGTTTAATGGGTGGAAAAGTTTTGTGAAACACAAAAGAGATGCATCAGGTGCTTAAAAAGAAAAACTAAAAACAAGTCTTGCTTACCCAATTTATAAACTGCCACTGATAACAACTGAAAAGACTTAGGTTGAAACAAACTGTGTACACTATGGACTACCATTGACAAAGAACGTCAAACTCCATTGAAATGAACATACCCTTTTACTAGAAATAAATTTGGGCCAATATATAGCCTTCCAACATGAAAGATATCTTCTCTCTCCGTAAAAAACTGGTGGCCACGTTCATGGGTGGTGTAAAATGTTATGGCTCCATTTAAGACAGATGAGCTGTACTGATTCATTCTGAATTCAAGTACCTAATACAATCAAGGGTGGTAAAGAAGCATAGATCACTAACCTCTTTGGAAAAACCCATGCATCAGCATCCTTATGGGAAAATTAAGGTGATGTTGTGTGATTTGCTCAAGGCCAGTGTATCACTGGCAGTCAAAGCAAAACTAAATATTCTGGCCTCCTGTGCTGTGCCATAGGCTGCCCTCTGCTTCCCATTCAGAAAATAAAAGATCAAGAGGAGACACCTGTGGAGCAGATAAAGGTAAAGACATTTATTTTAGGAAAAGGTAAGAAAAATAAATGAATGGGAACACTGTGCGTGGTGATGAAAGCCTGATCTGACTGCAGTACAGCTTAGCAGAAGATACTTCCCACTGGCACCATTTACTATTACTGAAATGTTTCTTTGTGAGGCTCTACTTAGAATAAAAGATTATAAGGGAAGTTTGACCTGATGAAGATTTGTCAGTTATTCTAAACAATACTCCTTTCCACTATGTGCTTCTTCTTGGTGGTCCAGGCCACAAAGCTAGGGAGAGTCAGGGTGACTTCATTACTTGTCTCATTTGTGAACTGGTGACATGAGGTTTTTAACCCTGACCCATAATTCCCAACACATTGTAACCTATCTTTCTGTGTTCTTCCATTCCCAGTTTGTAGAAGAGTTTCTGGAAACAAGAGAACAATATGAAAAGTTACTTCAGGGTAAGGCTACAGTGACTTGGCCAGTTTTCTTTAATTTAGGATTGCTATAAGTGTATTATATTAGCAAGGTATGTCTAATATTGGTGGACCTAGGGTAGCCTATGTCTTGTTCCCAGCTCCTGTAGGGGATAGAAGGGAGGGAGGGATGCAGAGATCATCAGTTGGGAAGGGAGTATTTGCATTTTGGATACTTCTAGTGGATATATCATTCTCCTAGGACTAAGTCAACAAGCAGGGTAAGAGCACCCCCATTTAGAACAATCAAGACTTCTTGTAGAAACTGGGTGTGTCTACACGAGACGCTAAACGCGCAGTAGCGTGCTGGGCAAAAACCCATGCTGATCTGTTACTGTGCAGTAGTATTAGGCTTCTGCGCAGTAAGCATCACTAAAAACTTTTGTGCCAGCACTACTGCACAGTAGTGCAAATTATTGTGCATTGATTTAGTACTTGCTTAACCAAGTACTAAACTTAATGCACTGTAACCATGGTGCATTAATGTATGTATAGCTGTGCCTACTGTGAACTAGAGCTGACTGGTTAAAATAGTTAAAATTAGAAAATAAAGAGGTATTTTAGTAGTTGCAGCAGCAGCAGCTGGTGCTCTGAAAGCCAGGAGTCATGCTTTATATCAGGGGTGGGTAACCTGTGGCACATGTGCCACAAGTGGCATGGGCAACCTGTGTGACACGCAGCAGATTAGGGTGGGGACAGGCAGCATAGTATCTAATAGGGAAGGGAGCAGAAAACAGAGCAACAGATCAGGCAGGAGCACAGGCAGGGGAGGGAAATGGGAGTGGCACTCCAGGAGCACATGGGACTTGGTTTTGGGCACTCCTGCCAAAAAGGTTGGCCCCCATGGAGTTATATTATGGGAATATAAAAGAGTATTTTCATGAAGAGTTAAGACATCTGCTAATAGAGGGTTACCTACTTAAAAATCCAAAAGGTCATGTAGCAAAATTGTTCCAGCTTTAACTCTGACCCAATTCCTCTATATCACTACAGGCTTGCTCACACATAGCATTTAGTGCAACAGCTGCTCCATGCTCTCCTTTTGAAGCTGCTCCAAGTGAATGTTTGCCTGTGCCCTAGATAAGGATCAGTAGTGTGTGGTCTGTGGGCTAGATCCAGCCTATGGAGCTATTAGATCCACCCCATGGAGTGGGGAGGCTTTGGTAGTATTCTGGAGGTGTGGAGCTTCCCCTCTGCTGCAGCAAATGGGCAGAGAGAGAGAGAAGCAGTGGCAATAGCTGAGACATTCCAGTCTGCCACTAGGAAACACTGTCAAGTGCCTTGGTTGTTCATGGCCTCTAATAAAGCCATCTCCTAATGTGATTTATAATCCTCAATAGCTCAAACTGCAACATACTTGGAACATTTCTCAACACTGTATAAACTCTCCTTGATAAAAATGTAGCATAGTCTTTTTCAAGCATGTTAAAGATATCACTAATCCATTTTTGTTTAGCCAGATGCTCTTTCCCACAACCAGTAATAATACTTTATTAATTACACGTTATACACTAGAATGTCAGTGTCTCTGCCATACATGAATATATTGGGACCCAGCTCTCATCTTGAAGCAGCATTGTGTACCTCATGGACATATATAGGTGAAGGTGTAGGACCAAAACAGTTGCCTACAAATTATGCCTCTTGGTTCCAGTGTGATGCTATAGGGTTTGAGTGACTTGATGCTATTTTTTTTCTTCCCCAAGATGGAGCCCTGTTGTTCCAACAAGTGCCCATGGTAGAAATCGATGGGATGAAGATGGTGCAGACCAGAGCCATTCTTGGCTACATAGCAGCAAAACACAACCTTTATGGGAAGGACCTGAAGGAGAGAGCCCTGTATGGTATTAATAACTCATTCTAATGCAAATGTGTTCATTCCAAAGTACACGAGTTTAAGATTAGGAAATGAAGATGACCCCTCTCAGGTCAAATGTTGGAGTGGTAGAATGCCATTTCCCAGATTTGGACAAGAACATCAGGTTATATGTTTGTGCCATTGTTCTTTTATTGAGTGTGATAGGATTCAAAGATTCTAATGAAGTCAAGTGCCAAATTCTTACTGAGTTCAATGAGATTTGAGCAGCTTTGAAAAATCTCACTGTATGAGATAGACATCTCATTTGGAAGATGACAGCCCCAGCAACTTAATGCTACTTGGCACAGTACAAAGAAAGACTCTACGTGCCATGTCCTGACTGCAAGTTGCCCATTAGGGGTGCACACCTGCATTTTGAGGTGTGGAACCTAGGTATTTTAGTGTGGTTCTTTGCTCTCACAAACATTTTGTCTATGGCAAGCAAACTGTAGGATCAAGGTCCATGTAATCAGTGCCGCTATCTGCAGCAGTTTTCCTTGAAAAAATTCTCTCACAAATAGCAACTAGCTAGGACGTAGTTTAGCTTGTGAGAACTGGCAATTCCAACCCAAAGGGTTGCATGTATTCTGTAACAGTTGCCCCTTTCCTTAATATACATATGTGAAACCTTATTACATATAGGGTAATATATATTACCCTACATATTAATATCTCTTCCCTATACTATATATAGGGAAGAGAAAGAATAGAAGAAAATGTTGTGACACAACAAAAGATATTAAATGCGTTGCCTTTTTATTCAGTAAGAAATATGATTCTATGAGTTAATGTACGATGCCCTCTAAAAATAGACAGACTTGAAGACTTTCTACAAATATTAATCACTATTTCCTTACAAACATGATGAGAAGTGATAAGGTCAGTGCTCAGAGCAGACAAGAACAAAAGATTCCTTTTTTTCCCCCCTTCAAAGGTAAGTAGTTTAAAATAAACCTGGTGTCAGGTTGCAGCCCCATGTATCAAATGTATTCTTACAGGCATCTCTCTGGTCATTAGAAGAATTTCAAAACTGTTCTGAGAAAAAAATGCTGTAGGCATGCTGGAAGCATAACTCTTTCATCTTGAAGCCTTGATTTTAGTAAAAGAGAATCCTATATCTGTGTAGGGAGGCTGAACTAGATGATCCTTGAGGTTCCTTCCAACTCTTTTGTTTGATAAAATTCATTTCCTAGGACTTGCTTTTTCAGTGCTGATAGGGCATAACAGAAAAAATGAATCACCCAGCATTCCAGCATACAGCCTAACAGCATTCCAGGGCAAAATGGAGGTTCGACTGTTACAAGATTTAGTTAAGAATTAAAGGAGAGTAATGTAGTTCATTTCAATCAGCATGGGCTTATCCAGCCTGGATCTTCAAAAATATCAAGTTACTTTCACAGTTACTTGACAAAGACAATACCATCAGTATTAGATTGCTGTAAATCATGTACCACAGATACCACACAATGGCCACAGGGATTGCGGTTGTCACAGGGGAAAAAAGCAGTGGCACAAGTTTATGCTGCTGCTTTTTGCCCCAGTGCATGCTGTGCACATGGGGTTAGCATGGAGAAGAATGCTCTGGGTGGGGCTGGGAAAGCTGGGGCCAGCAACTGGGCTGGCCCTAGCAACCATACCTGGGTCCTGGGGACCTCCCAGAGCTCCAGTGGCAGCAATCCGGGGGTGTGGGGCCTGGCTGGCAGCCGGAGCATGGCTCTGGCTGGCCTGGCTCTGGTTGCAAGTGGAGCATGTTGCCACCACATGTGCCAGCCTGCTTTTTCCTGGCACGGGTTTTTTTGACACTGGAATCTCCCGGTGTAAAAAAACACCTGCCATACTGCAAATTAGCAGTGCAGTGCTAGAGCCCTGGGATGGCAACCACATGCCCCTGCTCTTGGGGATGCGTCCAATATGGTGCACACTACCTGGATTTAAAACTAGTCAAGTGAGAGGTATAGAAATGTGATTGTAAATGGAGAATCATCACTGAGCATGTTTCTAATGGGATCTCACCTCATTTGAATCTTGGCCTTTGTCCAACTCACAAATTTATTAAATGATGATCCTTAACAAACAAAACAAAAATCATGTTAAAGCAATGTTGCATAGACGTTGGAGGCACAAATAATAACTAGGACTGCGACAGATCTGAATCAGTTGGCAAACTAAGTTCAAGGAAGCTTTCCAATTTGACCAAATAAAAGGTCCTAAAATCTATGGATAAAGAATGATGGACATGTTTATAGGATTAGAGGGGCTCCATCCTCTGGAGCAGTGGTGCTAAAAGGAATTGGCAGATGATTGCCTGAATACAAACTTCTTGTGTGACATTGTCATTCAAAGGGCTAAAGGGATGCTTGGATTGTAAAACAGTGGATTTTTTAATAGGAAGATCATATTACCCATGCATTAGTATTTGGCACTATTGCAGCCTCCACTGGATAACACAATGTACTTTTGGTGTTTATGTATGAGACACTTGATTCTAGATTCCACTTCTTGGCTCTGCTGCATAGGTAGGAGTAATTTAATGCCTGTGCTAATGATTCAGATTCCCTCTTGTTGCTTGTCCTTTTCATCACACTAACTTGTACACCTACACCGTTCAGTATCATGCCTGCCCTGGCTGGGGTTGAAAACAAAGAATGTGGAAAGAATAAGAGTCTGTTTCTTCTCACCACAAGAGGGGCACAGAACACTACCTTATGCTGTGGTTGCTAGTCTGTGTTTAGGTCCCTGCTGTCACATCCTGGGTTCTGCATGCTACCCATGCATATTAAAGCTAGCATATCTCTACCCGCCTATGCTACAATCACACCTCCATCTTCCTGGATAGACACACCCACAGATAGTCCTCTCTCAGCAGTCTGAACCAAGGACAAGTGTTCCTTTGCCCTAGTGCCAATCACATGGACATAGGTTTCACTATATTTGACTAAGTCTATCCAAGATGGAACTTTGAAAAGCCAGAAAAATGCTCATGTTGGAAAATGTCTACAGTCCTGACATGCCTTATGAGGAATTATATATATTTAGTCTGTAGAAGCCGGGAACTGTCTAATGTGGCAACAGAAGGGGAATTTGGGGCTCATTTGTAGAATCACCGTGTATATCATAGAAAATAATGATCTATTTTGTGTGTGTTTGCATGGAATGAGCACAGAGCAGGATGTGAAGAATCAGTGAGAGAGAGCATGGAGCAGGGGGGAGGGAAAATGGAAGACCCTATAAGACTCAAAACTGTTTAAACTGGAATCTTTTCCCAGACCCATGTAATTGTCTTGGGTTTTTCTGTACTTGCTTTTTTAGCTACAGGCCAGTGTCTAATAGGCGCCAGAAGGGGGCAGTTCAGAACTGAGGCCAAAGAATCTCCTGTAAAATCCAGCAGTCATTTTCCCATGCCCTGTGAAAGAGACACATTAGAAGTTGCACAGTTAAATAGCTTTGCTGCTGTCTGCAGTAGCAAGGATTCCTCCTCTATGTGCCCAGGAGATGTAATTCAGTCAGGTATGTTGGCCTAGAGGGGAAAAGGGATATTAGCCAGACTACTGAGAATGGGGGCATGGACATGGGTCCTTAACAGTCAGAACACATCTTGGTAGACTAGGGCTCTCCTCTGACATTTACAATAGTGCTGCTAAAGCTTATGTTGATAGGCTAATAGCAGAATAGAAACAACAGCATTGCTGTTTTATATATTATATACAAAATAACAGATGCAGGCAGGCATCCCCTTAGCAAGGCTCTTCATTTATATTAAAAATAATAAAAGCTGTGTCACAGGGTGCACAGGTGGGTGGTGGGTAATTTAGTTTGTCATGAGTTGACTGATCACACAAAATTAAATTCTGTAAAAACCAGTTCAATTATTCTAAGGTAGAATGAAAAGCTGAAAATATTGTTTTTCTCTGTTTTCTTCAGGATTGACATGTACGTGGAAGGGACAAGAGATCTGATAGACTTGATCAGAGTCCACCATAAATTTTCACCTGAGGAACAGGAGAAAAATCTGGCTTTAATAAATGAAAGGGCTACAGCCAGGTACTTCCCAGTCTATGAAAAGGTGATTTATGTTTTAAAGTTGTTTAATAATACTAAGAGGAAAGAAAGGACAGTTAACTTAATAAATTTAATTAATTCAATATGGAGCTGGAGGCAGAGCTGGAACTGCTGCTGTTGCGGCTTGACCAGGGATGGGGCTGCTGCTGCCTGGCAAGGGAGGCCAGGCAGCCAGGGGGACAAGTTGGGGGACAGGGGTGGGGGGAAATAGGGGCAGCCAGTGGAGAGGGAAGCAGGAGGAGGTGGACCTTGCTCCCTTTTACCCCTCACAGTGCTTGTACCCCTGCACCACAGCATTGGTGGGGGGGAAAGGCAGGGAGGAGAACAAATTTAAGATGACTCTTCAATAAGTAGATTCTGTACATGGAGAATTATAACAATTCTATTATTTGGGTGTTGTGACCTCTGATAATATGGTAGATAACCTAACTATGTAAAAACCATTAAAACATAACTCTTATATTCATACTTGTCTCTAATATTCTTAATTGAATTTAACCATAGTATAACCTATCTATATTTGCAAAATTTCCCTTGCATTCTGTAGGTTTTAAAAGATCATGGAACAGAGTTTCTGGTTGGAAACCAACTCACCTGGGCAGATGTCCAACTGATTGAAGCTATACTGATGGTAGAAGAAAAAGTGTCCACAATTCTCTCCAAATTCCCACTATTACAGGTAAAGAATACCTAGAATCCAACGTATTCACTGTCAGCAGACTTTACTGGCCAATGTTAGTGCCTTCAGAATGATCACATTAAGACCAAAAGATAATGGGGATGGTTCTGCTTTGAGCAGAGAGTTGGACTAGATCAGTGGTTCTCAACTTTTTGCATACCAGGATCCATTTGCCAAGATCAATGGCTTGTCCTGACCTACAACCCATGGCCCTGCTGGTGCCTGACCCACAGTCTTCTGCCCCCCTGGGCCATGCTGGGCCCCTCACTCCTGACCAGCAGTTCCCTGCACAACCCCCCCCCCGCAGGAGGCTGCCCTGACTGCCCCTATCCCACTTGGGCCAGAGCACAAGCAGCGAGGGCTGCCTCTGTCCCAATCCCTGAGCAGCAAGTGAGGGCCCCTTTATGGATGGGCACTGGCCCAGGCACACAGCTTCCTACTGTGTATTGCCCTCACCCCCTTCTCCCTTCTCTCCACTCCCTCTGCCCTGCCACAGCCCTGTGCCCAGCCACCTTCCCCAGCACTTGCAGGCACACACCCCAACCCTCTGGACAGTCCCCTGGACCTCCAACCCCTCACACCCTATACACTTACCTGTTTCCAGCAGCTGGGGCTGCTCCCATGCATGCAGACCCATGTGTGCCTGCTGCCTCCAATCATCCCAAGCAGTCCCTTGCAGGCTGGAAGGCTGCTAGACTGCAAGGGGAAACCCGCACGTTCATGCATTTTCCTGGGACTTGCTTGTGACCCTTTCAAATATTCTTGCAACTCACTTTTGGGTCACCACCCACCAGTTGAAAAACACTGGACTAGATGACCTCCTGGGGTTCCTTCCAAACCTCATTTTCTATGATTCTATCATGTTTGTTTTGTTTCACTGTCATTAGAGGACAAGGAAATGCACAGCTGGGGTAATGCTATTCACCATTCATTTCATATGTAAACTGAATTGAAAACCAGTTCACTCAGAAATTAGACTAACCAGGTTTTATGTATGCAGTCCCTGTAAGAAAGAAGATCAAAAGCCTCTCTTCCCCCTGTCTCATAACAAAAGAACAAGGATATTACAATTAAATTAAGAGGTGGCAAATTCAAAATGAATTATATAACTAAAATGCTTTAACACAAGGCATAATTAGACTGTGGAACTTTTTGCTCTGGAAGGTCATTTAAACAAGAACTAGAAATATTGAAAAAGGAATTTGACATTTATATAGATAACAACTCCATCCAGAATTATAATAGCTAATATTCATAATTCTTGAAAAATATTTAAGCTCATATTTCAGGGCATAGGCGACTATAACTGTTAGGAACAAGAATGAGCCCTAATAAGTGGAACAAATTCTTCTATATCGGTCCACTGAAGCCTTCCTATGAAGTGTTTGGTTCCAGCCACTGTTGGAGAGAACGCTGAAATAAATGGGCGTAGAAACTCATCCAGTATGACAGTTCCTGTATACTACCCTTTGAAGGCAATATATTCTCCAGCCCATGGACAAGTCCAGAACGGAGGAAAAGAGGCTCCAGACACACCCCAGTCAGTTGTGTGGTGCATGTACTTTGCGCTTTTTGAGCTCACTGGCATGTCAGTGCAGCTCTTAGCAGAGCTCTGCCTGTCTCCTGTACTTACCAGCTGAACCATCTGAGCTCTGTCCAGGACGCCCCGCTTTTGCACAGATGTGGAGCCCAGGGGAGGTATTGAATCCAGTGGCAGGGGAAAAGGAGGGTTTAAGTGAGTCACCTCCTGGGCACCAGAGCTGCATAAAAGCAAGGGCTGCAGCCAGATCCTGCACCAATCAATGAGTAAATACAGAGGGTACCTATCAGGAGTTGGAGGGGAGGTGTTTTAATTAGAGCGGTTCCTGGAGAGCCAGTCTACTTAAAATGTTTCACCATCATGCATATAAAGCCCCTGCAGGTTTAAAAAATGATGATGGGATGCTTTATCTAAACCTCACTCAACAAGGTTTAGATAAAATGCTCCAGCAGCCATTTTTAAACCCATAAGGACATATACATGTGACAATGAGCCCATGCTGAATCATTCTAATTAGAATGCAGAGCAAACTTGATTAATCGAGTCTGCTCTGACACATTTTAATTAGAATATGAACCAGCACATGTATAGGCAGGCTGAGAGTGCAGGGCACATGGGGAGCTCCAGCAGGAGGTATGCTGACTTGCCATTGAGCTCAGAGAGTTCATTGCCCTTTCTCTGCACAACTAAAAGGAGAGGCTGCAATGGCATTGCTGTCGTTTCTTAACATCTGTCCCTGCCCGTCTTCTGGAGATATTGGGCAATGAAAGGCACAAATGGCTAGAAAGAAGAACATTTTTAAAAGAAATATTATTACACTAAAAATTGCTTCCTATCTCCATATCTACTTGGAAAAGAATGGGACAGATGCATCTCTCATCCAGAATCTCATTAACTGGAGCTCAGTCAGATTCCAGACATTTATCTTAATTAGTTTTTGCAAAAAATGTCAATGATTCTTCAGAATTGTACTATTTCCCATTTTAGGATTTTAAAACAAGAATATGTAACATCCCTACAATTAAGAAGTTTCTGCAACCTGGCAGCCAGAGGAAACCACCACCTGATGAAAGTTATGTAGTGACTGCAAACAGAGTTTTCAATAGAAAATAAAAGCTGGGTTCCATTTACTGCGGTGATTCCATTCCACTGGGAAGGGAGAGTTTTGTATTTAGCAGTATACAGAATGGACACTTAAATGCAGAAGTCAAATGAAAGTATATAAAATAGTCTTTTAAAAAGCATATTTGAAAGAGAAATCCACAGCTAGTATATTATTCACAAATACTATTTGAAACCATAACATGCTGTGAAAAACATGTTGGACAAAGTTAGATTAGTAAATAAATAACTTTAAAAATGGAAAAAATTATTCAGATTTGAATAAATGATGTCTCATTGCTCTTGTTTCAATGCAACTTTTTCTGACAATTTTGAAAGCTAAGCAGACAAAAGAGAGAGGAAATATTTTATATTTTAATATGGGATCAAAATATATATTGAAAAACTGGGAATCTTCAAATTCCACTAGAATAGAAAGACTAGGAGTTGAACTGAGTTATACAAGAAGAAATGGAATAAACCTAATTTTGGTCTATCAAGGATTCTAAATAGAGATAATTTTACCTCAGAAAATATATATTTTTTAAAGCATCTGATCCTCAAACATTTTGAAAAATAGTAAAAATATGACTCATCACATTATTAAATCAAATCAACAACCAAGTCAATCTCACTTTTCCAATATTTTGCTATTTTTCATTAAAGTTGTTTTCCCCTCCATTGAAAATTGGGAAATGTTCATAAATATTAATTATAACAATGTACACAGCTACTATCCACATTATGTTAGAGACCTAGAAGGAACTCTGCCACACACCATAAACTAACTAGCAGGGTAAATGTTTCTTCTATAAATCACATGAAAACAGGTGTTTGTTACTGAAGTCATGATGTCACTGTTTGATATTGTCCTCAGAAGCTTGCTAAGTTGCCCAGGGAGTATCAGCCCACCCAACTTTGATCCTGCAGCAAACAATATCTTGTACCCCATCCTTAGAGGTGGGAAGGATATTCAATCAGGTGAACAAGCTGCCCAGCTCCCTACCAGGCTGGTTGGTGCTTTTTGACCATCAGAGGTAGGTACAGAAAGAATTCCCTGGATTTCCCCAAGGCAGCACCTTGTAAGAAGTGTACACAGCAGCACATGTGGGAGCTTTACGTTCCAGCTTTGCTTTCCACCTCTCTTGCTCGGTGCATTGTAAATAAATTTGTCCTTGTCAATAGGACCTGAATAAGGTTTATTCATCTCTTGAATCCCACTTACGCCCTTTCAGAGTACTTCAGACCTCATGCCCAAGAATCTGGCCTGTGATGCACATTTAATAAGAGAAACTTGTTGCCCTCAATACTGTAGAGCAGTGGTTTTCAACCTTTTTTCATTTGCAGACCCCTACACATTTTTAATGGAAGAATGGACCCCTTTGAATTGTAAGTGTGGGTATTCACATACTTCTGATTGATCCCAGTCATCTTTCACAGACCCCTTAGGCCTGTTTAAGAAGCTCTTGCAGCACCTGCCCCTTGCTGTGCAACAACTTGGTTTCAGTCTATGAGTAGTTCTCATTCCTATGATTTCCCTGGTGCCTGCTTCTGCATTCCTGCACATGTATCTAGTCCCTGAACTTCAGAACCCCAGTTTGACTTTGGCTCACTTCCTGACATCCACTTCCAGTAACCCGTCTGACTCAGTGCGTGAATCCCAGTTTGACTTCAGCTTTCACCTTGACTAGGGTCACTGGTAACACCCCTGGCTCTAACCACTGAGCCCAATGCCTCTGTGGGCCCTGACAGATCTATGATCTTAACAAAAGATCAAGCAAGAGACCAGAAGCCCTAGCAGAAAGCAGGATTGCCTGCAAGAAAGGTTAGGTTGATTAGTAGATTGGCCGTTAAAAAGAGAGATGATTGTTAACTCCTGTGAAGAACATTTGGTCATGAACTCAGACCACTGACTCCCTAAACTGCCTGAATAGTAATACCAAAGCTGCTACACTGTGAAGCAGTGAAATGTACTTCTATCTCGGGCAAAAAATAGGCTTCCCTGATTATTTTTCAGGAGCAAAGGTGTGTGCTGTATGCAAGAAAATATGGTAAATTATAGCTTGAAAATAAACTAAAGGATTTGGCATATTTGAGAATCTGAAGGGTTTTAGAATCGCCTCACAAAAGGTTGTGATGGAAAATTAAATAACCACAGGTCAAAGGGAAAATGTTGTTTTAGAATGAAACATGATTCAGCAATAGTAATTAAGAACAAGACACCTACTCCTAGGAATGCAGAGAAGATAAAGGTGGGTTGCCACTGAGCTTGGCCTCCAAACTGCTGTTACTTAATGATTTGCATGAGGGAATGGGGAAGGAATGAGTGAAAACTTTTGTTGACTGCATTGCAAAAGTTATGGACTAACAGTTCCCAGGCACCATTGGTGCTTCATTTGCACTGAATTGGAACAGTACTCTTCTTTCTCATCTGCCCTTGTGCCAGGCATGGGCCAGTTGGCAACCTTCCTGCTTCCCTGTTTCTGTAGCCATATATTTACACTCACCACAGCTTTATTTTGTTCATTTTCTCCAGTCTTCACTTCTTTCCATCTTTCTTCCTATTTCTGCACTGATCAAAGTACTTCGAGTATGTGTGTTGCCAGGAAATTCTGTTCCTAAAGCTCTGAGGAGCGGTACAAAGATTAGGTATTAGGTGCATCAGTAGAAAACCCAGTCAAATCAAGAGGGGGAAAAAAGGAGAGTTTCAATCACATGATATTTCTTCTCCTCCCCCCACCCTGCTTAAATGGAGGTAAATCACTACTGGTACTGTAGGATAATATCAGCTTGGAGCAACATATTTGACATGCACTTTATCCAGTCTGCCAGCTACATTCCCACACTCTTTGTCTCCTTCTCTAATCCAAATACTCTGCTGGCATGTGCCTTATTAACTTCTGTAGGTGACCACATGTCACCTACTAGTGTACCTTCTGGTGTGCAGTCAGGTTCTTGCTATTCTTAGATGCTCTGGGAATCACCCCAGCTTCATCTTTCTACAAGCACGTTAACCATTATACCATTAAGAATTCCCTGTCCTGCCTCCAGCACCTGGACCCATGAAGAAGTCCTCAACCTGCTGTCGCTATTGGGGAGGGCAAAAGCCTGGAGGAAAAAAGTCACCAGAACACCAAGCCATAACCATACAGACAGCAGCGAGGGAAACCACTGTGACAACTTGCAATGCTGGTCCAAGGCCAGGGACTTAAAGGGGTGTATAAGTAGGTGAGAGACATCAACGGCTGCTCAGGCACTAGGTGAACTATGTTTCCTTCCAAGAAGGAGCTGAAGAGGATCTTGGTGGAGAAGGCCCAGCACTGAGCTGTATTTCATTGCTGATAAAGGGGATAACCTGAGGAGTTCATGCATGATGAGATGCAGGAAAGCTGGGACTTGTTTGGCCAGCCAGGAGCTGTTGGCTCAGCTATCCATCCTGATCTAGAAACTCAACTCCCGCTGGCTTTTGCCAGCCAGCTGGCCACCCTCAGCAGTGCTCTTGGCTGTGGGAGGGATAAGGAGGGATATAACGGTAAGCATGCACATATTTTCACATTCATGTTGGAGCATGCCCAGGTGTGGCTAATCAGCATTTATTTGTTGCCTGTGCTGCATGTTGCCACCCTGGGCAGATGCGAGAATGCACCTCCTGTTTTCTGTTCTTCTGTCCTTCATGGTCTAGCCTCCTTCTGTGAACCCAAAATGGTGATTTTTCCCAACAATGTCTCAGTCCCCTTCCCCAACTTTCCCGAGCTGCTATTTCTGTTCTC